TTGTCACTGTAAAAGTGATTATTTCAACAAGTTGATATAATTTTATATAATTATTTAAGTTAGTTACATGTCAGAAATACCATTAAATATATTGATAAACAACTAAGAAGGGTTAAGTTCGGGTGTAACCAAACATTTCATACTCTAACAACTTGCAAGGAACAAATCCGGCTAAATACCTTCAGGTGTTGGCAATAATATAAAATGTAGCAAAATGGTTCAACTTTATTGTTCGACGAAATCGTGGGATTACAATCAAATTTGGTATAATACTAACTTATTTTGAAAGTCTATGGCCTTAGTTTTATTACTAAGTATATATTACTTCCCGCCAACGAAAATTGTATATTATATAAAGTCAACCGATGAAGCTAAATTTAATATATTGAATTGATGTGAAAAACGTCAACCAAGGGATCACAATTCAATATATTAGGGTTACGAGGTTTAGACCAAGAACAATTTCATTTATATTGAGTGCCAAACCAATAATATAATTTTATAACTTTCAATAAAACGTGTCCACCTAATTTCATTAAAGTATAACACATTTTAATTAACCTAATCGATTTAAAGTCAGGTGGAAAGTCAGAAATCATTAGAGGCAGAAAAATGACAACCACTGCATTAATTTTTGACATTTTTATACTCTCGCAACCTGTTGCTACAGAGTATAATAGTTTTGTTCACCCAAAGGTTGTTTGTATCACCTAAAACTAATCGAGTTAGATATAGGGTTATATATATTGTACATATATAAATGATCAGGATGAAGAGACGAGTTGAAATCCGGGTGACTGTCTGTCCGTCCGTCCGCCCGTGCAAGCTCTAACTTGAGTAAAAATTGAGACATCTTTATGAAACTTGGTAGACATGTTTCTTGGTACCGTGAGACGGTTGGTATTGCATATGGGCGTAATCGGACCACTGCCACGCCCACAAAACGCCAATAATCAAAAACAAATAAATTGCCATAACTAAGCTCCGCAATAAGATACAAGACTCTTATTTGGTATATAGAATCACAATAGGGAGGGGCATCTGCAGTTAACATTTTTTTTTTAAAGTGGGCGTGGTCCCGCCCCTAATAGGTTTAATGTGCATATCTCGCTAATGCTACAATAACAAAATTCACTGGAAGCAAATGTTTTTAGAACTTCTACCTACAGTGTGAAAATGCGTGAAATCGGGTGGCAACACCGCCCACTCCCCATATAACGGTACTGTTAAAAACTACTAAAAGCGCGATAAATCAAGCACTAAACACGCCAAAGACATTACATTTTATCTCTGGGATGGTATAAGATGACTTTATAGGAGCCGCGTTCAAAATTAGTCAGTGGGTGTGGCACCGCCCACTTTTAGGGGAAAACCCATATCTTGGGATCTGCTTAAGCGCTTTCAACCAAATTCAGTGCGTACCGTTCTTTTCATATTTTTATGTTATAGTGCGAAAATGGCCGAAATCGGACTACAACCACGCCTATTTCCCATATAACACCATTTTCAATTCCATCTGGTTCTGTCACTTTCGACAATGCATATCAAGCAAAAAAGATTGTATCGGGGTAAAACTTTGCGTGAATAATGCGTTTGAAGTATGCCACCTTGTGACCAAAAATTGTCTACATCGAGTCAAAACTGTTCAAGTCCGTAGGTACTGAATATGTGAACCCCAGTACCTATAGCTGACTTTTTACCGAAAATATCCGTCAACATAGAACAAGGCGGCAAGATCCACAAAGAAATTTAAAAGGAGTATACCATTTGACTTTGCGAGAGTATAAAATGTTCGGTTACATCCTTTTTTAGATATACTTTTCTTACTTATTTTCAAGAAATTTTATAAATACATAAATATAAACATATATGTGGAGTAGAGTCAGCCGGATGTTTCAAGATGGTGAATTACATTTATATGGAGTCTAAGACAGGATTTTGCCTGATGTTATCCATTTTCAGATCAAAGATATACCATTATTAGAAAAATACGCTCTCTGAATTTCAATAAAATAATTCCCACGTTGGCCTATGTGTATTAAGTCAACTGAAAGTTCGAAAATCTTTATATGAGGTATATTGGGGATAAGGGAAGTATTGATCCGATTCAACCCATTTTTGACATAAGGGTGTATTATTATCAGAGAAATATTTTCCTCGAATTTCTATAATATATACAATATATTTCACAGATTGACCGATATTTACGGCAAAAAATCTGCCATACGCACTGGAGTCCACATATTCAGTATCTGGGGGTTTGAACAGTTATGGTCCGATTTTGACAATTTTTAGACTCGAATTGGCATACCTCAAATGCAAATGAAAGAATCATATGAAATTTAAAATTGTGCTATATGGCAAGTAGGCACGTTTGTAGTCCGATTGCGACCATTTTTACAGCGTAACATACAATCGTCAAGATAATATCACATACCGAGGTTGGTTGAAAGCGGTCGAGTTGGTCCCGAGATATGGATTTTCCCCTAAACGCTCATTGTCCAAATTTGACACCTGCTCCTATACAGCCCTCTTTTACCATCTCGGGTGAAAAATTGTTTGTCTCTGAAGCAGTTAGTCATTAAGTTATCACGCTTTTAGTTTGTTTTTAACAGAACCGCTATATGGCGAGAGGATCCGATTTCATCCATTTTCACTGTCGGTAGAGGGTCTTAAAGAATTTGTTCTAAGCGATTTTATTAATGTAGATTTAGTGGTTTAGGAAATATGTTCATTATCCACAGGTGCCCCTTGCTACTGCAATCCCCTGTACTAAAGTACTGTTTTATACCTTCATGTAGTGTTTAGTTATGGCATTCATAAGTTTTCAATCAATGGGCGTGGCAGTGGTCCGATTACGCCTATCTACGAAATCGTCCTTTTTTTTTGCCAAGGAATACGTGTACAAAGTTTTATTATGATTTTTCAAATTTTACTAAAGGTGCAGCATGCACAGACAGACAGACGGACAGACAGTTACCCGGATTTCAATTCATGTCGTCATTCTGATCACTTATATTTTTATAACTCTTTCTAGATCGATTATTTTCAGGTGATGCAAAACCGCCGTTAGGTGAACAAACCTATTATACTCTGTAGCAGCATGTTGCAAGAGTATACCAATTTTTACCTTTTAGCCAGGATTAATGGGTAGTCCGTAATCCTCAAACGACCCTGTTTAGGTGGCATGGCGCAAGTTAATGGTCATCGAAATCAACCCAAGAAACCCAAGCTGTCTTGGGAGGGTCGGACCATAGGGAAAGGGGTTATAGATGAGTGAGATTTATTGGGCATGCAAAGATGTAGTTAGAATCATGCGAGGCCACATTGCACGCAGGACATATGTAGTATTTGCTAAGTCAGGGTCGATTCTGGATAAATAAGAGTTTATCTTGGTACAGTATCTAGAAGGAAGTTGCGCAGGGTCACTCTAGGTTCGAGAGGCTACTCGAAGTGTTCCTTAACCGGAAGCACGCAGGCCCCACGATATAATTGCTCGATGGGAGACATCAAGAGGCATCCTGCTATTTGGTTCGGGTCCGTACTTTGTCAATAATCGTGGTCGAATGCCGAGTGAAAGAGTGCTGTCGAGGGTTCTCGGGTTGTATACAATCGTCATCGATTGCGATATTAATATCCAGTCTGTACTCCTCCGTCCGGCCCCCAGGAGTGAGCTTGGGTTGTTCGTTGTCTTCTAGCAGCATTGTGTGGTTGACAGTGTCAGCCTTTTGAAATAGAAATTTTTGTTACTTTATTACATTTCGTTAAATTTCACAATTTATTGTTTACTGTTGCTAATAAAAATTGTTAATAAATAACATTATATTCTGTTAACTGCTATAAAACGTAAAATTTAATATTTTAGGAAACAAGAAAAAACGCATTCACCTTTCACAGATGCATTTCTTATAAGTATACAAGTGTATAAAAGATCTTTAAGTTGACTTTGATCGGTGGTTAGTTTGTTTGGCAATATGTTATAGAGGTTCGCTATCAGCGATTCCGACAAATGAGCAGCTATCTCAAATAGTGATGGACTAGTTTGCATATACTCTAACGCTTTCGACGTCTTCTTCCGGCAAACTTAACATACCCTGTTCAATAGAAAGAAAGTAAATCTGAAAATTTGGTAAAGTAACATTACCGTCACAGTTTTAATTTTCTTACACATGATGAATCATGTTTCTTATTTAACAATTTAGAAAAACACTCTTTATAATTGTGACATTTTATTTTATTTAAAAGTTTTTTTTTAGTTTTTTCTTCTGCATATTATTTTATGTGATGCCATAGAAAAGAGGCGAAAGGGAAAAGTACACAACAATAAATTTCAAAGTTGAAAACAAAGTGTCAGCTCTATACAATGCAAAATCGGAAAAAGTAGAGAATATGATAGTATAAATTCAACAAAATAACATTACATATGCATATGTACTTATTTCTGCAAGCAAATAAGTCAAGAAATAATATTCATATCAGTAATCATGTGTCCGGAAAATTCGTCAATTATTGCCGCTGTCGAGAAGTGGCTTACCGAAGGAAAGCGGTTGAATAAGGATAACTGTATGCAGCATAGGGATAGGAGTAGGCGGCGGCATAGGGCGAAGTGTAAGCGGCCGTGTAAGCAGCGGTATAGGGAGAGGCGGCCACTACTGGAGCGGAATAGGCGGCAGTGTAGGCCACTGGTGCGGCAATCACAGCCGGCTTGGCAGCAACGTAAGCGATCATGGCGAACAAACAAATGGCGAGCTATATGTGAAGGTGGAAAAAATTTAACTTTGTGAAATAGCAAATTAATAATATTTTTTAAAATAAATCCTTAACACTTACAAATTTGAACATTGTGATATTATTAATTGTTGTATGCGCTAAGGATGAACTGCTTTAAGTTGTTCTAGTGCAACTGATGACACCACCGTCGAGTCCCAGGTATTTTATACTCAAAAATTCTCAATACAATTCCATTTTGGAACCCTTTGTAAGCAATTGCGGCCTACTGACGTTGCTTACTGCCACTTTTGTGGAACTAGTCATTACAGCAATTAAAAATTCATAGCGAGTCCTAAAAATATTGAATAATAAAAAATAAAAATTTATATTTTTATATTATATATGTAAGTATATATCGAGCACAGCTGACTGTTTACTTGAATATGTGCCAATTCTGTCACAAACGCCTAAAATACACGCCAATGCCGGGCCAACGCCCAGAGTTTTGAGCTGGAGCCAATATTTACTATGCTCAAGGGAATTGTTTTAGAATAATAACAAACGCACACAGTTATATAGCATTTACAAAAATGTAACAAAAAGCTTATTTAAACATTGTAACATCAACACTTTTGTTTTCAATGTGAAAATGCTGTGTACTCTATGTAAATCAGTGTATTCTGCCTATGTGTCTATGTGTCACTGAATCAATCAGTCAATCGGTCACTTACCAGTTCGCACACACAACACACGTAAAAGTATTCCCTATGCGTTATAAAAAGGCTATTGAGTAATCGCAGCAATTGACGTCGTGCATACCAAACTCGTGTTTATTATAAAAATATTCATTAGTTCTAGACAATAAAGCTTCTTCAGTTGATATCTACATTACATATTTGAATAACTACGTAACCAAGCTGTCAAATGTTTCATCATAGTGTTCCAGCACTTTATGTGATTAGGCTCCTTTGTAATTAATATCCAGTAAATATTGATTAGTTCCTTAAGTGAGATTAGGAGTCGCTCTGAGAAAAACATCAACAGCTAAAAAGCACTAAAGCTATCCATCAATTCATGTTCGCCAAGTAATTATGATCCCAACGCTTGAAGTGTTTGTACAAGCGGACTTTATGGCAGCATTCGTTTCAAGGTAAATTTTAGAATAGCAACCTCATATTTTGTGTTTGAAATAGGTATGACAAATAGGTATGCTGTAGTGTTTAGGATTTCTACACACTAACATGTGACTAAATTTAAAATATGTATATTTTATGGTATGGCTTCAAAGAGAACTTCGTTTTTTAATATTACTCTACAACTATATATCTGTTTGAAGGTTATTATAATTGTCTTCAATAAATAACATTTTTATCACCCGCCACAGGATTTAAGTTATTTATGTATGCATCCCGTTGTCTATCACAAAGAGATTTTCACCTGCTGATGCTCATACGCGTGATCAGATGAAATTAATCTGCTTTTTAAAAGTCCATGCAAATACTTCTTCTTTCCGCAACATATTTCTTGATCAAGGGTATGAGCATCTCATCAAACCTGTCATTGTCAAAACATTTTGCAATTTCAGATCATCGCTATACATTGACTGTTCTTCATCAGACGAATACATCATACATCATTATTGGCTTGACTATGGTTTCGTAGAGCCAAAACATCACCTTTGGTGAAAGTCTTCACCTTTTCTCTATAGCTCCTCTACAGCAAAAAAGGCAACCGATACCGTTCTTTACACTCTCCTCATTATTTGGGCTTCATTAAAGCTTCCTATCAAGTAAAAGCCCTGCTAAATAGAACCATTTCAGTTTTACGACGGTTAAACCGCTTCTATTAGCCCAGTTGGATACTACGTTGAAGAACCCTTCGGTTAACTCGTTGACAGTATTTATAAATTTTATTTTTACCATACGGACTACGTCGTCAATACAGACTGTCACTCGACAGCCTCGTTCCTCGAGTTCTTTAAGAAGTCCGTCATCACCAAGCTCCAAAGCATTGCGGAGTGCTCTTGTTAACATTTTAGATTGTCTTAGCGCTACCCCACTCCGCTACGACCGTTCTGTCGCAAAGAAGACTATATATGAGATGCTTGAGGTTCGATTCCACCTAAAACTTTTCAAGCGCCTCCAGCCGCACATTGTTGAAGGCACCCTTGGTGTTGAGAAAGGCCGTGACACCAAGTCGTGCAAGTATCGACCGACCTGCCTTTGATGTAGGCATGCTGAGCCCTTAAGAGTTTAGCCCTAGGTATTCTGCTCCTAATGTACAGATGCATGAGTCTCACGAACGTTTTCAACAGAAACGAGGATAGGCTAATGGGATTGAAATTTTGGCAATGAAGTGAGAGCTCCTTCCGGCCTTCGGGTTAAACCCCCCTTAACCAGTCTCCAGATCTACGTAACATAGCTCGCATCTATGGGGGCCAGCCAGCTGCATGACACCAGTTGCGCCGGTCATAAAAAGTTTGAATGAATTCCGCACCCAGATAAAGTGACGTTCATACAAAATGTTCAAGAAGTCTATACAGCCCTCTCGAAGCCATCCCAGTGGCACTTCTTCAGCGGATTGGTTTAACGGAAAGTGAGCATCCAGGGGTAGTTGCAACGACTTCTCGCTCCTCACAGTCCAACTGTGATCAGCATATCTCAGATACTAAAGATTCTAAATGACAGGGTGGCGATAAAGTTCAAGGGTAGAAGCAGATCGATGGCTATTTATTTGTTTTAGGGTAAATGTTCGTTGTTAAAGCAAAATATTAGTGTAACAATGTCACTAAAAACTACTTACATATTAATTCTGACTTTGTACAATTTTTACCGAAGCATGAGCACTACTTAAAGGAACCTTAAAAACAGCCTCGAATGGGTTAAATAAAAATAAATGTAGAAAATCGTAAACATATAAGCAGAGGAACGCACACGGAATGTTGATTTATGAAAACAGAGACAAGTAGCAACAAGCGTAAGTATGTTTGCATATAATTTCCACTGATTACATATGAACAGGGTATATATGTATATTGCATATTTTATATAGGTAGTATGACCATATGGTTTGAGTATCGATATGAGTATTACGTATGAATTCTATAAGCCGATATCAAAACCTGTATGCACATAATTTGTGCGTTTGTATGTAAATAAATGATTGCTTACAAAACACATTTATTTGTGTTGTTTTTGCTTTGTTCAATTTCATTTTGTTCCGTTTAAATGCTGGCGCATTTATTGGCTTGGCTGGCAAAAGGTTTTCTCGTTAACTATATTCGTTTTGAATTCCAGTCGCACGAAAAGCGCAGAGTGAACAAAACCGTATAAAAAATGCTTAAATTTGTAAGTTTTTTACATTTACAAAGTCGTCACGAGAAGCATACGAAAATCGACGATACCAACTATAAATACCAAACTAATCACAATCACAACAACAAAACACATAGAAACATTAAGAAGTTTCTGCATAAAACCACTGACGCGCACGCGCACACAAGAAAAGAGAATCCGCCACTTGTAAGCTACTTGAAATTTGACAATGCAGAGTACCATGCGGCAAATAATAGTCCTGTTGATGCCGCTCCTGCTGCTGCTACAGCGTGGTGTTGCGGCCAGTCCGGCGCCAGGGAATTTCGCCGATGCCGCGGAGACGATCGATGTGCCGCCGGAGCACCGTGCGCCGCCACCCGGTGCTGCCGCTGCTGCTCCACCCAGTGCGCCGGTGCCCGGATTTGGCGTACGTCCACCCTTCCTGGCTGCTGCTGCGCCGCAGCCACGCGGCGCTTTCCCTTCTGTCGTCTTTCGACCGGCATTTGCCCCATTCGCCAGCAGCTTCAATGGACTCATGGTGCAGCACTTGAACGCGTATCCGCGCCTGACTGCCTCAATTGCCGCCTACCAACCGGCTTAGCCGATTGCCAACAAAATAATTCCTCCTGCAACTCAACATGTTGCACCGCAGCTTCAGCCACCAATTGCAGTAACGCATCGAGTAACAACAACTGCTACGAATGTTGCCCTGCTGAGGCGTTGCCTTCAGTGCTCACAAAGCACCTTCCAACTACAACTACATCTAAATTATCATCCACAAAACTATTGTCGCTTACACCATTCCAAATGAAATTAAAACTACTGACTGGTGCCGCCACGAATTGTTGTTAATCAAGCAAAGTGAGGCGAACTTGCATAATTACTTATTAAATTACATCTGTCAAATCTTTAAAAGTGAAATAAAATTTATCTAATATTTGTTGTTGGCAAGTGTTTCGTTCTCATTTGTGGCTTGTCGTGCAGATAATTTTGCCGGTGTATTTTAATTTGCTATTATCGTTCCGTAAAGTTAATAGCCTCACTTTATTCGGCTACTAGGCTAACTAGCAACGCTATGTGTGTACATGTGTATGTGCATTTTTTGTGTACAAATAGTATCTGTATCTCCACAATTTTGATTTAATGCGTCACTAGTAATTTTAAATATATTTTTATCTCCTTACTGGATTTTTCATAAGCCATTCCGATTTCATTATTATTACATGCATGCGAATGGGAATGTATTCGCATTCCAGACACACACGCGCCATTCACCTTTAACGTATTTTGATTCGCAATTGACGGTTGGTGTTTTCCAATGTTCTTTCGGGTCGGAGTGTTTTTAATTTATACTGACATATGCATAAATTCATGCTGATATTGTACAAGGAAGGACTTGTTTATAACGTTCAACTTAACTGGCTTACTTTAGTGTTGCCACCTGCACAGTCTGAAATACGAAAAGCTTTCAAAAAATAACGTGAGTTTTTGTTTTTTGAAAAAATATTTATTCATTTGTCTACATTCAAGTTATCGCCTCCAAAACCGTCCCTATTCGCTATTATGCACTTATGCCAGCGCTTCTTCCAATCGTCAGAAGTGTTTTGACTCGATTTTTTGGATAGCCTTTAGTTCTTTCAGAGCTTTTTATCTATCTTATAAAAGGACGGCCCTTTAAGCTTCGCTTTATTTTTTAAGTAGGAAAAACTCACACGGAGCCGTGTTTGGCGAATATGGAGGCTAGGGCATCATTAAAATATTTTTTTATGGAAAAGAATTCGGGAACAAATTCTTTGCACAATTCTTTCAACAAACGAATATCGCCACGCTCACAAGAACACGTCTAACCTTCGCGGTCGCTACAGGCTAAGTATGCAATGAAAATTTAATCGTACTTCAGGCGAATGTTTTTCAAAATAATAAAAAAATTGACAATTGGACTCTCCTAATCCGCGAAATTTAAAATTTTAAAATTTCCGTTATTTTCCTCCACATCTCGTAGTTTCTATGTGAAACCAAGAAAGAAGTCGAATTGAGTCTTATATAGATAATAAACCATTATAATACGTATATTTAAGGTTATTTTGAAAAGCTCAAGTTCAAGTAGAGTGTGCTTGCTTATGTCGTTGAAAATTCAAGATAGGAATGGACCAAATTTATAGTAGTGCACCAAGTAACCGTAAGTGGACTTTGCTGCATTCATAAAAAATAAAGTCTCAATGAAGTTCAGGTTCAACCCTAAGCGTAAATCAGACCCGAAATCTTACATATACATATATAATTATAATAAAGGTATATTAACAAGAACGACGTGATATTAAAATTAAATAAAACACTCAAATTTGGTCGAAATGGGTATTTTTTGTTCTGCAGATAATTTTATACCTTTTATGATTTGAACAAAATAAAATTGTTCTGGATGTTGTCTTGCAGCTCCGCGAGCGTTACTGATTGATTAGCGTAAACCTTAGATATAACATATCCATTTCTCAAAATTAACGAATCGCCGAACTTTGCACGCAATGAGCACGATTTTTTGTCGGAAATAGTGATCGTCCGCGCCGATTTCATCAAATTCCCGGAAAAAAATAGGTCAACAACATGTTATAACGCTCGCTATCGATGGTAACGGCATTTCTTGAATTATTTCGAAAAAAAATACCACAATGCTGCCGCGCATCAAATGGTCTGTCCGCTTCAGTTCTGATTCCAAGACAAGCTTAAATGTTATGCTATGTTGTCTTCGGAGGGTCATCAACTGGGTCTTTAGTTGTGCAGAACCACGTTGAACCGACTGATGCGGATTGACCTTAATACATCCCTATTGGTATATGCTGTATAAGATGAAAGCTGACAATTACTACTTATATATACTTAAAAGGAATCTGAGGTCATGAATATTTGGAAAACGTTTACATTTACATCCGAAAGTTGTTACCAGATCCATTCCCAAAATCTCGACTTCAAGTTTGCTATGTATATATTTATGAGTGAAGGCACAAATCAATTCTAATTCTATTATTATGAAAACAGAGCTAAACAATTTCAATGCTTTTAAACAGAAATCCTAGTTTCAAAAGTCATAGCAACATTAGCATGTCACAGAAAATTAAAAATCTAGGCTGCGGAGCATTAACATAATTTTCAGAGAGAAAATTGGATTAAGATATGACAGTAACGTGAACGAAACAAGTTTCTTGCGAAGCCTTCGATGAAACTTAAACCCTCAAGACTTTTGTAAACAAATTTTTTGCCACTAAATGAAGTTTAGTCTCTATATTCAGTGTGTAAATCTCTCATTAATTTCCAGATAACATAATGATAATTTTTAATTCCAAACAGATAACCTTTAAAATTAGTCAGAGAACTCTCAACTTCTTTTTGAATACTTGCTAACTGCACTGTTGTTAAAGCAATCTAAAAACATCAGAAAATGATGTCTGTAACGTTAACTCACAGTGGAACATTCTGATATCCGATGCTTATGTGGCCGGCTGACTATTTTGACTTAAAACAAAATTACTACAAGTATGAGATCGAAGCCAAAGGCTGGTACTCTCACAAATGATTAGTTTTACTAGGAAAATTGTACTCGTATTTCTAAAACTGAATTCTAACTATCTGAACTGACTTTCTGTTTCTTCGATGTTAAAATTGGAAATGTAAGGACCAGTAAACCAAAGTCGACAAATTTACAAACTTAGGAGATTGGGGTTTAACCGAAAATCGAAGTTAGAAACTTTGCATTTCTTATTAGGTAAAATTGTAAATTTGATTGTCATTGAATTCAGAAAACAAGAAATCTTATTAACTTAGGCTGCACTGAAGCCAAAATAGCCTTCACAGGTGCATTTCTGATAGGAACTATATGTATAATTAAATCTGAAAACTTAACCGGCCGACGGTTTGGAAAAGCTAGTTCTTTCTTGTCAAGTTGTTTGGTATAAATAAACTTAATGTCGAATTACAGTTACTTAGAAAGAAAAAATATCTTTTACGAATATCCTTATCTTGATTTTGATTGGTCAGTTTAAAAGGCAACTATATGCGTTCATACGGCCAGACATACAAAAATAACTAAATCGATCCAGCTCGTCCCGCTGATCATTTAATAATACATTTATCTTATTCCAAAAAATTATTAGTAAATTAGATTAGACCATAGACTCTTACTTCCAACACTGTTACTATTATGGTTAAAACTAGCAAGTATTGATGGCACCATCCATTGTACCTAATATGTCCATTAAAAGGATTTAGTGGCTATCAGCTAGCAAATCCTTATATCATTTGGAATATAGTTCCTTAAATTATCACTTTTTAATTACCACTTAAGATTATTTACCAGCATTAATTTCTTATTTGGGATATTAACCTCGTAGTCACCTAGCTATTGCAGCTTTAACCTTCATAGCGAAATTAACATAATTAAAATGAGCAAACAACTTTGATTGAAAATTTTGGAAGATATATATTATTCCATTTAGATTAGTCAAATCTGAAAAATGATCACAAACTGTGCAAACATTTGCAAGCCGTACTTATTCCAAGAGTCCAATTTAGCTGCCTTATTCCTCTTATGCCCATTACGTTTTAGCCCTGAGTCGCATTACGGATTTACTTTTCGCATTCTATCCACCATTTAGTATGCTACAGTGTAAGCGCCGATGTAGGGGTAGTAAGATGCGTACGAAGCGACTGGAGCGCTGTAAGCAGCAGCAACGGGGGCACTGTAAGCGGCAGCAAATGGGGCGCTGTAAGCAGCGGCAACGGGGGCGGTGTAAGCAGCGGCTACTGGGGCACTGTATGCGGCGGCCACGGGAGCGGCAGCTACTGCGGGTGCGGTGTAAGCAGCGGCGACGACAGGGGCAGCAGCAACACCATTGTAATTGCGTGCGATGTACTGCGAGCTCTGAGCGGTCACCACACCTGGAGCGCTATAAGTGACGACGGCGGGCTTAGCTGAAGCGCAGGCGACCAAAGCGAGGACGGCGAAAAGAACACACTGTATGCAAGTAATGTAAGAAAATGTATGTGATGATATTATTATATTTCTAATTTAAAATCGCAATTACCGATTTGAACATTTTGATTGTTGTTTGTTTTGCTGCGAAGTTGCTAACTAGCGAAGTGCTGAAGTTGTACTACGATTCCTACAAAAAAATGTAGCTAGCTTATATACCAGACCAAGCATATTTTAGCAGTAATGTCAACGCCTGTCAGTAAATGCATTGAGCATTATCCATCTGTCCGCCAAAATATTTAAATTTTATGCTTTGTTTTATAAAATTTTTTAATATACCTATATGTGTATGTAGATCTGGTAACATTAAGCATACAGTCGTAATAGTATTTAGTACACTTTTAATTTCAATTGTGTTAATAAAGGCGTTGCAGCCAACGACATTGGTTTATTTTGCATTTCTACTTGTCGCTCATTTCGCGAATCGTTTCAGTTGCCTTCCACCACATGTCTCAACCTCTGTTGTTCTACAGAACAGAGCACTGAACCAAAAAGCCAGTTTGTTTGCCAAAAATTATCATGCACACATATGTTACAGCCGAAATAAGAGTACCCATTATGCCCTGCGGCCGAGGTGGGACGAAGTATGGATTGAGCGCCAGTCAAGGCTCAGCGGTGTGTTTAACCGGCGTACGTGTTTGCAAATACAAATTGTCGGTCAACTATGAGTACCGAGCAGATTGATAGCATTACTGACTGATTTATAACAAACCGAAGGGGTCTGAGCAGGCGGAGGGCGTGATGTATGTGGTTGCTACCGTCCATTGCTTACTGTTGCCGTTTCAAAGTCGAATATTTCCAGCTGTTAGCGGATATTATTGCAAACACGTACTGAAAGTATAGCAAAAGCAAGAATAAGTTCGAAGTAATATCGCAGAAATGGTTGCAAATTGTTGACACATCCACATCGGTGAACATCGTTGATCAATCGAATGTATTCAAAAGTAAACAAAATGTTCAAATTAAAATTGCATTGAGTATTAATAAAGAGACAGAGAACATCTGTTGTTCAACCATTAAGGAAAGGTATACAATAAGATATACTAAACACGTTGGAGAAACTGTGGCTTACTATCCTAGATACATAGCACCAACATGATGTATGTAAAATATGTGTCACGTAGGTTGAAAAGACGTTTAAAAATAATTTTGTTTGTTTTGTTTTTCAAAAATGTTGTTCCATTAACACACAACGTCAAATTTCACGCACTTTATTTTTCAAAACACCAAAACTCGCGCCGCTCAAAATTCTGAAACTTAACTGCGAAAAATATGGGTTCGATTCCAGTCATTTCACAACTTGAACTTCTCAATATATGTGCTACATCGAATTTCAAGCAATAAAAAGTCTTTGCATATCCGTATTTATATATTTACAAGTATTACTAATTTATAGTCCGAGCGGAACCGTGTTAACTGATCGGACAAGAATTTGTGTATACTATCTTAAGGAGCACACGTGGTCCAAAAAAGGCGAAATTTGGGAACGTAAACAAAATGTACTAAATCGATCTTCGACAGCGCTTAAAAAAGATCCTGATGCAGCAATTCCGGCCTTCTACGTGGATGAACTTAAAAATGTCCTTTGCTGAAAGGTAATGTCTGTACACTTACTTACAATAGAAAACAAATCAAAAATTCACAGAATGCCGGCGTTTAAAAAAAGTTGAGTTTCACCCAAAATTTTAGTCAGAAAACTGCTAAGTCAAGGTAGGGAGAACTATATACGCATTGCGAGAAAAATTTGATAGCGGTCGGATTTTGTCCGGGTAATAAATCAAGCAAATTTGAAAAACGCGTTTAAATATTCAATCAGCTGAACTGAGCGCCTACAGTTTTAATGGCTGTAACTCAAAAATTATTTGAGATATCAACTAAAAATTTTGGTATATGATTTATAAGATTTAATCTATAGTACGATACATTTTTCAGATAGTTTACGTAAGAGTATGCTTATCTTTGTTGATATCAATTTTAATATGCATAATATGGTATACCGACCTAATACGTATTACATTCTTGGATTGCTAAAGAGCATATTTACTAAGTTTTATCAAGTTGACCTCAATTCAATTAACTCCCAACCTCGACAATAAATTTTCTATTATTCACTGCATAGTTGAAATGATTCTAAATATATTTCATAGAAATCACGAGTAATCACAATGTCATAATGGTTGCGTTATTCGTGTCTTCGTACTCATTTTTAAAATGACTCCGGCGTTCATAATAGGATTTGTCTCCCAGGCACATGGACGAGAAAATAACATAGAATTCTAGGTTTCCTGACTATCAAATTCCCATAAATATCGAAATCTGTCGAGAAAGTCTTGTTTACAAAGGTAAATATAATGTTTACAAACCTTGGAAACTGCTTGTCATATTGCATAAATGTTAAAAAAAGTGAGTAATATATGTCCAAGATAAAGGGAGAGTAATTTTCTATACCATCAGAATTTAATGATTTACATAGCACATCACTCCCTGCTCAAGCAAACCGCCATGACGAAAATTCCAAAGAGATCTATTAAGCATATAAAAGCAAGATATGTTTTGATTTTTGAATCGTTAACGCCGAAGTTTTGTTCGGTTTGCTCAATTTTATGATACATATTTTTCTTGTGCACTCGAGAAAGACGGACACTTTAGAAAAGAGATTCCTATCATGATACTGAATATCTTAGAGATCGTTTATTTTATTCGCCAGCATTTTAAACTCGTCTCTGATAATCGCATCGGGTATACATAAAAAAATTTCGAAAGAGTTCTTCATACATTGCATAACGATAACTGAAAAATTATTATACAGTTAAGAATGAAATGCTAGCACAAAACCACTTTTAATAAATACAGCGAAAGAAATGCTAACGGGTGTTTTAATATTTCTTTTATATTTTGTTCCTTATCATTTATTTTTTATTTGAACTGCGGCACAACTTTGTAACACACTTTATTTTAATAAAGTTTTCTTATCTTAAATTCCTAGTTTTATTCTCATTATTTATGGAGAGTATTTTTTCATAATCACTTTAAGTTCTCTTTGGTATTCTTTCGGCACCATTTGCCATATCACTCATTCGGCACAATGCTCTATATTTGAATTGACCGTTGCACTGGAATGGAAAACAATACTCGCTCCCCGTCTTGAGAAATAGTCCCGTCTTTTGATTTTCCACGCGTAAACCACCACAACGCCGACCAAAAGCACGATCATCGCCAGCAAAGCGATCTTCATCAGCAGCAAATACAACTCTAGGCGTTTCTCGTGCAGACGCAATGTATTCATCGATTGTTGAAGCACTTTTTGTAACGTGTTCATATCGTTCAGTTCATGCTCCACCTCTTGTAGCGCGGCTTTATCCACCACTTTAGAACTGCTGACGCAAGACACATCGCGTATATGTGAGCGTTCGGCCGCATTTTCCTCCGGCTCAATGTGCAGCATCACCGAAGTGGAGAGTTGCGGAGGCACCAGTAGTGTATGCAAATAGGTACAGTTAAACTGGTTGCGCGATATGCCAAGTTTGGAGAGATTTGGAAAGACATACGAGAAGCCCCCTTTACCATGTACTTCGGTCAAATTATTTCCATCGATATAAAGATAACGCAGGTTGGATAGATATGGCACAAAAATATCCAAGTTGACTTCGGTTAGATTATTATAAGACAAGTCGAGTGTCTCTAAATTCACCTGCTTGGAGAGCATGCCAAACGTGAGCTGGCGCAATCCGATCGCACGCAATGAAAGCACACGCAACCGCTTCAAGCGATCGAACGTTGTAATGTTGACCGGTCCAATGGGGTTGTTGGCCAAGTCCAGCTGCAGCAGACCGGTGATATTCGTGATATTTTTAATATCGCTCAGGTTATTCGAACCGAGTATTAATGTTTCTAAGAAGAGTGTATTGATCATTTGCACATCGGTGATGCGATTGTGATCGGCACGCACATGCTTTGTACCGTTAACGTAAATACGCGTTAAATTATTATAATCCACCTGTAGCTGTGTTAGTATGCTCTTATTACCCATCTCAAATTCCGTCAAATTATTGGCAGTCAGCAACAGATTCTCCAAACCATATGCCGACTGAAAGCTATCCGGATGTAAGCGATAGATATTGTTGTAGGACAAATTGACGTCAACAATGCGTCGCAAACGATTGAATACTTCGGGTTCAATGTACTCCAAGCGATTGTTATTAATCGCTATTGTCGACAAATACTGATTCTCCAACAGCAGATCTTTCGGCAACTTGCGTATGGAGTTATATGAGAGTTGCAACTTATCCAAGCTACCTAAGCCTTTAAAGGCGTTCTCATTCAGCAACTCAATACGATTGTGACTCAGATCGAGCCGCATCAAATTGCTAGCGCCCATAAAAACGGATGTGGTTATTTGTGTTATGTTGTTGTTGCTCATGTTGAGTATGCTCAAATTACTCGCTGCGCCGAAAGTGTTGCGTGGCACATCCAAAATCTCCGTAAAAGACACGTCAAGCGTCTTCAGATAGGCAAAGACATCGAACAGTTTAAAGGGTATGTATAATAGACGGGAGTCGTAGAATTTCATAAATTTCGTATTATTCGCTTTGGGATATTTTTGTATTTTAACGATTTGACTGTGTGACACGACGAAGCCGGAGACCGTGCAATAAGCTTCACTTGTGGACATATCGTACATGCGCTCGAATTCATCGCATTTCAATGTGATATCCTCGGTGGCGGCAATACCGTTTAGCACTACTTGCAGGATTAAAATTAGTTGAATGTTATTTATAAGTCGCGGCATTTTCGCGAACGGAACGAACTGACCAGGCGACGGCTGTAAAGCAACTAAAACCCTCTTGTAAGCTGAAGTCAATTCAGATGAAAGTCTGCAGTGTCTCAAGCGCTTAAGGAAGTGGATGTTAGTGTGCTGATATACATTTGTGTAATACTATATATGCATACGGCATTACATATATCTATACTTTGTGCAACTTATAATATATTAGCCACTACATAAGCCCACGCATCCTTATCAAGTACTGCCCAGAGTTTCGAACGGGAAGATAAGTTCAACGCCGCGAATAAAACGCCATATAAATTTTCATATATGAGGTAAATATACATTAATATATGCCACACAATAACAATTATAACTCGAGCAGAGCTGGACCAACTTATGTTCAATGACTTGTAGGGATTGTCGCCGCCTTGAACGACAAAATAATACTAAGACTTAGAAGAGCGTAGTTTTTAAAAGTTTGTATAAGATCATACTTTTTGATTTTACTCAAGTTCAAGATCCCCAAGATCTTTAAAATAACTGATTCGTGATTTCTTCTTCGACACAATTTCACTGAACGCTTTAACTTCTTGTAACCATATTATATTTTTTGTAGCATTTTCATATTTGGCATATTTCTAAATATTTTGGATCGGTGATGTTAATATTGCTTATAGTAATATTCAAATGGTTATATAATATCTTTGTTAAGATACAGTGGGATCGTACTCTTATATATATTCATTATTAATGGAATAATCTGATCTATTTGGTTAAAATTAGCATGTGCGACCATACCTCCCGATTGACTCTTTAGTCATCACTCTTCTATAATTTTAAATTATTGCCTTCATATCACTTTCCTTATACCACAAATTTGGAACTGCCTTATTAATAATCGACCCGATGTAATGTTAACTGGAAGGATGGATTCCACCAAGCCCAACTAGTTTTATCGATCCCAACTTGGATCTCACTTAAACAGCATATAACCGATCCGTTGTGGTACCTAGAACTCCTATAAAATTATGATAAAGACCCTCATAAACAGGCAAAGCGCTTTGAGCATATCTTAAATTTGTTAAGGCGGCTAATGACAGTTTTAGCTATGTCTTCTAGTTTGCCGAAGGTATGAGTATCGAGGTGTTTAAACCTCAGTCTTGCAAAAGCTGCACAATGAAAGAGAAAATGCGTAGATGTTTCCACCTCACTGTCTTCAATACAACTTTGACAGTTTGCGTCCGACTGGTTTTTTAGCCATTTAGCCTGAATGCATATTGAACAATCTCCTGTAACTACGATTGCGGCAAGTACAATTTTGCTAAAGACAAGCAGTGCAAAAGATATTATACGTTCTACTCTAGGCCAGAAAGATCTCGCAGTCGCTAAGACGCTGGTCGTCATACAACGCATACTAAGCGCAAGAGAGCGTAATTCACTCGTTCCCATTCCGATGTGAGCGGGGTAAAGAGGGGGTACTCTTGCTAGCTCATCGATTGTGACCAGGCACCCAAATGAGTCTGAAGTAGCTTGCTGCTATATCTAGTTAGGTTAGACACACCTTGACTATCTCTGAACGCGAAGTTTGCGAGCTCAACGCTTGTATTGCCGCTTTGCTTGACCGAGAGCAGCTTACAGAAACTATGCCTCCCTTTGTACTTGCTCAATAAAATGCAATGAAAACGAAGGTTATTTAGACAAAATTGTTCGAGTTTTAGATTATAAACTTGAAAAATGCTAACAGGGGTTAACCATCGCTCATCGAAGTTATAACTTGTAACAGTTTGGATTAATATCATTCAGATCAATTATATAAATTTTCAAATCACTTTATTTCGATACCAGCCGAAGAGATACCGAACGAGGAACGAGAGGAGAAGAAGCTTTCTTCGAAGGTTTGAGGTTGACTGTCGAGAGAGTGAGCAAAAACTGTTCCACAATTTTAGATTTTTACTCGATCTGAATTCCGAGTAGCCTTCGATATGTACTCACAGCCTAATGAACCTTATTTAAAGTGGGATTCTCCTAAGTATACAATAGCCATAACTCTGAAAATAACTATTCAAAAGAAAGGCTGTTTAATAGAGAATTGTAATTTTTCAAATACGTAGCGGTGCATGCCTACAAATTAAAAATAACTGTGCATAGCATTTATAACGTGCTTTAGAATCACATATGTATATACCAAACGTTAGACTTAAAAGAAAAAGTGTTACTTCCGCTGCGGCTGCACCAAAGCGGTGATAAGCAGAGGGACCTTGAGGAAGGGCAATGATTATATCTGAAATTAATGCGAATAAACGAACAGCGCTTGAACGAAAATAACTGTTTATTTACCATATATAGAGAGCGGCCAGTAAAGAATACAAGCAGAGTTGTACAAGCATACTTGTATTAACATATAGTATCAAAGGTTAAGTGAAGCAGTGGAAATACACTGGCACTATATGAATATAAACCATATTAACAATTTATTTTATGTTTTCTTCCGAAAACCCACATTTTATTGCATACACATGAATTTATCAACAATATCGTAAAGCTTTTTATCGTTAATATTTTTTTTAATGAAATCGTAAATCACTAAAGCAGCAGACTATTATATTTACTTCTTCAACAAAAGCGGTGCGGTGTAGGCAGGAGCGTACGGCGACGCGAAATACGGCGAAGCTACGTATGGAGAGGCGAAGTACGGCGTTGGTGAGGCGGCGGCCACGTAGGGTGAAGCCAGATAGGGCGCAGCAAAGTTGCCGTGGTACTCGCGGGTGTAGATGGCAGCTGAGGGTGCGGCGGCGACCACAGGCGTTGTGTACGCGAATACACTAGGTTTGGGCTCAGCACGAGCGACGGCGGCAAGGACCAAAAGGACGAAGACGAAGTACTTGAACATTTTGCCAATTTTTTGTGTGTCTAGTGATCGAGCTTATGCTTATGAATATGTGTGATTGGCGAGTAGTTAAACTGCTTTGCTGACGATCAATTGGGCTTGAGGTGATTTATATATGAACGCAGTTATATCACAAACATAACCCATAGTCAAGAACCTTGAGGCCAATTCGGCTAGTTGGAACTTGGTTATTACCCGCCGTATTGATAGTTGAAAGCAGAAACGCACGTGATAGCCATGCCTGCTATAACCCGCAGTAAATTCCTTTTGTGGATCTAAGGCATACAAGCATATTTACATATGAGGCAACGAATATGCTTAAGTCGCAAAGCAGTCGAGCGTTGCAAGTTAGTGACAGCTCTTTAAGGAATTGTCAAAATTATGCAATTTCACCAGAGCGTCATTATGCTTGTAAATATATAGGTACGCATATATGTATGTCAATTCTTTTATTTCAATAGCTTGTTATCCACATTTTTTCTTCGTTTTGCTTGCACGCTTTTCGTAGCCGGCAGCAATGCAACGTGACTGCCATTGCTGATTAAGTTTGTAAGTAATATCGCTACCCGCCGACGCAGCGCAGAAAACACGAGCAACCAAATCTTAAATAAATCTGCAAATGTGAAGCGAAATAAAATTTCTTCTGTCTGCGCAATATGCGTTTATGAAATTATATTTATACCCTGAACAGAATATATAAAGTTTTCCACGAAGTTTGTAACACCCAGAAGGAAACGTCAAAAACCCCTATAATGTGTGTATATAAATGATCAACAAGATGAGCTGAGACGATTTAGAGTAAAGCCTGAGAACTAGAGTTTTTAAGTTTTATGTAGACGCCATACAAATTGACTGATCAAAATCAAGTTCTGGTAAGGTAGTGTAGGGTATTGTGGCCTCGGTGCAACCGAAATTCACATATCTTCTTATTTGTTTTATTATTGTTCTTGATTCAGTAGAATTTGCTTGTTTTGTTCTCAATTCATTTAATTAAACTCCATCAATTTCCGATATTTGTGTTTGTGTGTATTTAACAATATAGATACTGATTATGATTATAATTATTGTTACAATAAATGCATAAAAAACTGTTCAGAAGTTATTCTTAAAAAAAAAATTAAATATACGACTATATCGCTGATTTTAATTTGCCTAGTAGTCCACCTGGAGAAGATTTCAAACCAAGACTAACAAAAATCAATTTGATCATATGAATGTTTGATTCGGATTTTTCATCCTTGACTTAAATTTTCTTCTTGACCTCCTATTGAGTGCTGTCTATCGAACTGAGCAGATTGACACGAAATACTTATTTTTTGTCCTCACAAAAGATAGGTTAGATTCGGTTCTATGTCTGATCCCTAAAGTTGGTACCATGCTTATACAGCTAGGATAAGGAAAATTATTTAATGTTTCCGCGTGGACAGCTTATTAACACATAGTATCAAAGGTTAAGTAAAGCAATTAATGACGAAGAGCATCTTTAACTTGGAATTTTTCGAACGTGCTAGTAGGTGACCAGCTTTCGCGAAGCGGCTCTCTCATAGGTGGGAGTGCAATGAAAATGACATCAGGATAAGGCTTAATGACGCGGTAATCCAAATAGTCCGAATCAAGCCAAAGTGTGCAAGAATTCCGAATTGTTCAAGCACATAATAATCGTAATACCCAGCTTTTTTGAGTCTAACCTTCTCAGCAATCTATCTTTAGATATGTTGAAAGGGGTACATGAAGCCTCAAATTACACACACACATTTAATTTAATAACCCAACGATTGCATGCTAATAAGAACCGCTAGTTGAACATTCTCAAGTTTCTTAGCAAGTGTATCATTTTCCAAGGCTGTCCACCATGCGAGTACTACTTAATATTTCTTTGGCTTAGCTATGATTTCATAGAACCAAAGGACTACTTATGGTGAGAAATCTCGTCTGAGGCAATATAAAGCAATGTCTTTTTTCCTCCCTCCTCGATATTATGCTTTTACTATAGCTTACTCACTGGGACTCAGCTTGTGTGACTGCTGGAGATAAATACGAGAGGTAAATGGGAGAAAACGCTACTGTCATTTGGTAATGCAATCCTAGTAAATCAAATAATCGCAGCCACGCAGCAATAGCTCTACAATCAATTAAGCTACAACACTCAGATACAAGGGGCCTAAAAGGAAACATATATGTATGTATATTCTAGGTATATGTGTACCATACACATAGCTTCATAGCACAGATATCAAAACAATTTCTATTTCGGTTCTTACTTTACAATAACTGAAGCGTCAACGAGGGTTCAGAAAAAATAGCAACCATATTATAATACATAACGGCAACAAACTAAAGATTTCTTGTTGCACTTAATGTATGACGGCACTGTAGTGGTTTCGTGACCGAAGGCGCCTAAATGCTCACCACACTATGCCAACGCTGATTTGTAAATATGCATGGGTGTGTTTGTTATTTGCATGACCCAGTAGGAAAGTTTAGACTATGTGGGTATTAAAACAATGTTACGAATTAAAAAACAAGGTTTGAAAGTTGTATATTTTCGTTTTACTCAATTTATGTCTTCATTTGAGGGTTTCTTATGAAAGGGTTCAAGAAAAATTTAAATTTCCGCTTGTTCCAAAATTAAATGTGAAACCAAAATTTACCGAAAAATTACCCACCGGCTTGAGTATTATATGATACCCAGTTTGCATTGGATTGGTAGGTAACAACGCCTTTTTAATCACCTTATATAATGAGTATCCTTTACGCTGAAGTAACACATAGTAGTATTTTATATGCTGATTAAGTTCATCGAATATATTAACGGGTAAATACTTTGAATCCACATCCGTTGCTGTCAGTAAAATAATTACTGAATCATCAGCTGACCAATTGGCAGAAATTTGTTCCAAAACCGCCGTTACATTCTCGTAATCTCCTCCAAGACTACTTATTTGGCGACCACTGCTGAAACCAACTGAGTTTTCTGTCCACGGTATTAGAGGTATTTGTGAAGGAGTATCTAGAAATATTGGTGGTAGACAAACGAATGGCCGACTGTCAGCTATAATAATATGAAATGATGTTATGATCAGCACTGCACCTGCGAAGTTCAAAAATACATATTTAAATCGGTCAGCTGACGCCGCTAACTGCCAACTTTTGTTTGCGTTCATATTTTGATTGCGATAAGTAGAGCACGTGCGCAGATTTAGTGATTACTACCAATTATCCAGATTCTGCATCTTTTATACCAAACTCCACCTGATATGGCTCAACATTTCAGAATTTGCCGTCAGTTAAGGTTTGTAATTAATTTTCATAATTAATATCATGCCAGTCAAAAGTCCTCATTCTGATGGAGTTCTCATACAGAAGGATTAGCATTCATTCCAACATATGAAACATATTTCCAGATGATGGGCTTTTATCATTTAGAAATATGTATGTATACCCTTAACTCTGTTGCTGTGCGCTGCCATCTACCTATTTTTTATTACATATATACATATTTGGAATATGAATTCGAGTTGCAGCATTTTGTTAGCGCAGTAGGCTAGTACAACTACTGTAAGCCTGCTTTACACTCTGTATTCGGTTGAGTAAAAACCAACAAACATGTTATCATCGGTGTCACCGAAGCAATAGTACTCTGCACTTAAAAATAGTTTTCCATACAATTTTTATCGTTTAGTTTATATGGCTAATGAGCAGCTTCTAGGTGGGAAAAGGACGTTTGCAAAATTTCAGATCGATATCTCAAAAACTGAGGAATTTTTTCGCGTATGTACAGACGGACAATCGTCGAATATCGATGATCAATTCAGTCACGCTGATTATTTATATATATATATATATATATATATATATATATATATGTATATATATATAAGGTCCTCGACGTTTCCTTCTGGGTGCTACAAACTTCGTGGCAAACTTACTATATATAGCCTGTTCAAGGTATAATAAGGCTGCTAGAAACGTAGCTATTAGTAAGTCGGTTTTGCCAACTTAGCTCGAGCATAATATCTACCATACCATAAATATATTTACATTCTTAAATTCTACATCAATTTGGTGTTTTGATATCTTATAGTCAATACGTAGAATCGTTTCTTTGACAGGTCTCAGTTTCGCCACTAAAGCACTCCTTAATGCTCAAAACTCGAAAATTCATTTATATTTCTTTCGAAGCAGTCATTTCCATTGAGCACTACAGCAAACCAAGACATAGATTTGGATAGCCACATTTAAGGACTAGTAATGACTTTTAAAAAATGGATGAAAAGCAATGAATGTCATGTGACTGTGAAATATTTTCCGACTTCTCATTATTGTACGGATTATTACTTTTTCTGAAAAAAGGGGCCGATGTCGCAAACGTCTATTAATCGGCTTTAGTAAAATATTTGTATGTGGCGAAAAACGAAGTCATGGACGAGCTATCTTGCAAATTTCGAAATCAAATTATTGTCCTTCAGAGCTAGTCATCGCTTTATTTTTAAAAATTGCAACTCTTAGTTTGCAATATTATATGTCTTCTTTCTAACATACACTTTTATTACTCTTCCTTGGCAATTTTGTTTGATCCCTTAGCTTATTACTCTTTATCGCCGGCTATTAGTCTGGTACACAGAAACCTACTACAACATTCACGCCGTGTTTGTCTGTATTGTTTAAGGCTTATTTTTGAAATCGGATATATATTTTACTCCTTAACTGACGAATTTTAAACTGGCTAAGCGTCGGATGAACATACATATACAGATAACTAAATTAGTCACGTCGTTTTGAATATTTTGATATCTATATCTATTTCGAATTCACTGCAGTTCTCAAAAAATGGGTGCTGTTAAACTCCAGACAAGCTGAAAGTCAAAGCGGTGCAACATTTGGAAATAATATAAAGACTTACAAGACATTCTAATAAGGTAACTTGAGAACTATGTCTACGAAGAGTCGACAAACATGCTTACGAGCAAGCGGAATAAAATATGATATTTCATTTTATGTTGCAATTTTTGACCAAAAACTGTCAGCGGCTGAACTTCAAAAACCGACGCACTGTTATAGAATTACAAATTATTCAATTGCCACCAACAACAAACATCGAAGACACAAAAGTGCAGCAAAAAACCTACGGCAGAGGCTCAAACATTTGAAATTAGTATATAAACACCGGCTGACAGCTTACCGAACAACATAAACTCATCGAGTGTGCATCTTAATACTTACAGTTCTTTACTTGCAAACAAATAATCACAATGTTTAAGTTGGTAAGCAGAAGATATACAGTTATATAAAAAAAACTTTTCAGCCAAAGTACAACAATTTATCATGACAACTTTATTTCAGTTCGTTTTGTTTTCCTTCTTCGCAATGGCTTTCGCCCGTCCCGGATTTCTGCACTCGGCACCACTCCTAACCACTTACCAGGAGGAGCCACGCTTGGCCGCACTGCCTGCTTCAGTACATATCGTCGAACCATTGATCACCACGCAACAAATTGTTACACCTTTGCTTCATGGCGCCATACTTAATCGTGGCCTACACTGAGTACAGAGCAGGAACTGAAAGACCAGCAGCCGCAAGCAATACAATATTTGAGATGAATTTCAATTTTCTGATTAATAAAGCGCTGCCCTGAAAAATGAAACAATTTCTTTTGATAATTTCAAAGATAATAAGCAGAGTAGTGATAAATCGATTCCAAAATTTTTTTGTTCAGAAAGAGAGACCTTTAATGGGTTAAGTTAATTCAGCGAGAGAGATTGAGTGCTGTACCCAAATATTTTATTTTCTATCGGAGTTGTGTTTTTTAGTCATCAAAATGTTTATAATTAGTTTTATATGGTTTTTTGATGAAACTATTTCAGCTATGGTAACGTTTTTAGTCATTTTCCTCTTGTTTTTACTGTTAGGAATGCAAATCACAGGAAAGAAATATTACAACTAACCGATTGTACTTTCCTAACCCCTAATTAAATTAAGGGATACTCACACTCAAAACGCCCATTATAAAAGCGTGATGTATCACTAAATAAATACTTCAGAAACATAAAAATACGTACACACAATGGTACCGCTCACATTGAGGTGAAAAACCAGAATCGATCGTCCGATCTCAGTCAAATTCGGTAGATAGCATTATTTTCATATTTCTCTATTGGAGTGTAAAAGCGGGCGAAATCGGACCACAACCACGTCTACTTCTCATATATCACAATTTTAAATTCTATCTGATTCTTTCCCTTCCCAGTACAAAATTAAGCACCAATGAATTTATCGAGATAAAACTTTGCACGAATACTGACATTAAAGTTATGACCAAAAATTATCCCAATCGGACAAAACCGGTTCAAGCCTCCAGGGACGTAGCATATGAACCCCATCTCCTATTTCGAACCTTTTATCGAAAATTTCGGTCAATCTGTGAGATATATTATAGAAACTCAGAGAGAATCCTTATCCGATATAATTATGCCCGTACCAATAATTCCCTTAGTGCTATATACACTACTGGCTCACGAATTGTACTACAAAAACAAATACGTAATACATTTTTTTCTGTGTGAGTAACTTCCTTACTTTTTTTTGGCAGGTTATAATTTAAATATTTTAAAAATGCATGCTTGGGATACCGAAAAGATGGTTTGGATAGTGCAGCGGTACTATGCTTTGCAGTCCGTCATTACCGTCCAAAAAGAAATCAGACGGGATTTTGGAAGCACTCCCCGAGTAGATGGACCATTATGAGGTTGGTAAACATGTTTAACGAATCTGGGAGTATCGCATGAAGACCGTACCATCGAGATCCGTATGTCCGTGTTCAAGAAACAATCGCCGCTTTTGTTTTGTCGATTTAGGCAAATTTAAGTGTTTCGACTCGCAACTTATCGCCACAACTTGGAGTTAGTAGACGGTCATTAAAACGGATAATTCATTATTACTTAAACCTGTTTCCGTACAAAGTTCAAACAACAAGCCGGTTAAACTCTCTAGATTTGCATATTCGCCTAGAATTTTGAATTTTGTGATTGAAATGGTCGAAGAAAACAATAACTTGATAAATTTCCAGTTTATGTCTGATGAGGTCCATTTTGATCTAAACGGATATGTAAACAAACAAAATTGCCATATATGGAAGGAATCAAATTCAGAAATAATCCCTAAGACGGAACTTCACCCAGAACCAGTCACTGTGTGGTACGCAGTTTCACCAAGATGTTTTGCCGGGCCATGCTTCTTTTAAGAAAACGTTGTAATAGTAAACATCTATGTATCAATGGCGACCGTTATTTAAAAATGTTGAATTAAGCTTTCTGCACACATAGCCAGACCGATTATTCCGATTATCAAGAAACATATAATAATACAAAATAATTAATTACTTAAAATAATATAAAATTTTTTATACAATAAAAATAAATAAATGTAATGAATTGAATAAAACAAAACATTTGTTTTTGTAGCACGATTAATGCGCCATCCCTTTCTAATATAATATATTGGTCAATATGTGAGTTATCTTAATGAAATTGAAAGAGCGTGGTTTTCTAATAACAAGGTATCTTTGTGCATAGAATTAACGAAATCTGGTGAAATATTATTTTAAAATATCCGGTTGACATTTTCCCGCATATATTGGTGATGATATGTGAGGTACCTTAATGAAACTCACAGATCATCTTTTTCTGTTAATAACATGTGGTAGCGGCAAAAATAGATAAAAGCGGTTCAATACTACCCCTATCTCTCAATTACCTAATATCTATAAGATTTTCAAACTTTCGGTTGGCTTTATACCGTATATATATAGGTCAATAACTGAACGTATAAAATTTGGCATACTTTAGTTTAATTCCGAAAATTCGTATGTGATATTGGGCTACGAATTACCACTTGATTTCCGATTTCCCAAATGTCTTTAAACCGTTTAGGTTGGTCAAAATGTGTGATATTTTAATAAATTTAAGTGGACGCGTTTTTTTAAAACTTATAAAATTATATAAATGGTTTTGCGCTCAATGTAAATAAAAGTATTATAATCACTTCCGATACTCTGCTTGACGTTTTGCACATCAATTCAATGTATTAAATTAAGCCTTTTCGGTTGAGTTTATGTCAGATATATTATATTTTACTTAATATCATATTAGTACTTTAAGAAAACTCCTAATCTTTCTAAAAAATTACTTTGAATACCAAAAACAACATGAAAAACTCTACAAACTTTATATGTATTTCAGTTGACTTTATTAGAAATCATATCAATTTTGAAATGCGAGCTCTCTCCGATATTCAATGTATAAACTCATAAGTGACTGGTTTGTAGTCCGAACGATATTGTTGCTGAAACGAGTCAGGTGTGTGAACGCTATTGTAAGTCTCCACAGTCGGCACCGGCACAGCTGCTTGAATGCGTGAATAAGCCAATGGCACAATTGCAGCGGTGCGTGCTGCCGGCACTGCGATCGGCAGTGGTGCATAATAAGATGCCGCAGAGCTGGCGGCGGGCGCGTAATATATCTCCGTAGCCCATGCTACAGTTCCCAACAGACAGGCGAAGACAAGCTGAAAATAAAACACAGAGTGAAGCACTCCGACTTCTTATTTTAAAATTTTATGAGATATATTTTACCACTTTCAGCATAGTTCTTTTGTAATCACAAATTATCCGCTTCCTCGAAACACCTCTTTATCTAGCTGCCACAGGCGCACTGATATGTCCATCGGTATTGCATTGGCACTTTTATATAAGCCATCCTCCGTCTGTTAGCTAGCAAGACATGCAACAGCAGCAATCAGACTGCAATGCCAAGGACAATCGGCTAAGGTCACTGCATTTGCCGGAGTTTTGCTTGCTGTCACGTTGAATGTACGAGCATCGCGATGCGTCGGTACATTCTTGCAACTGCCGTAATTATCAATACAAGTTAATATGTAAATGGAAGAGAAGTGCGCTCACTTTTTATTTGTTGGTAATAAATAGACTTGGCGTAAGTTTGCTTGTTACTCCAGGATGTTATGTATGTATGCTGATGTATCAGAAAACTAAAGTTAATTTAAACGTTGATTCCTAGTGCTTTCGCTATACAGCTGTTTGGAAAGCAAGTAGAAATAATTACCGAAAATAATATATTATGTATACTTTTTTATTTTATAATTATTTATTTAAAAACTAGAAAAAATGTTAATTTCTGCTGCACCGAAGCTATAATACCCTTCACCAATGCATTTTTATAGCACAAAAGGGTATAAAAAGACCTTTATCTTGATTTTGATCGTTTAATTTGAATAGCAGCTACATGCTAGGGTGGTCCGATCTGAACAATGCGTGTATACTCGGAGATTGTAGCAAAGCCTTGGACAATACTCCATGCCAAATCTCTTGACAATACCTTGTTAAATAACAAAGTTTTCCATACATGGGCTTGAGTTTGTATGGAGCTATGTGCTATAGTTGTCCGCTTTCGGCGGTTCCGACAAACGAGCAGCTTCTTGGTGAGAAAAAGATTTGGGCAAAATGTCGGAAGGATATCTCAAAAACTGAGGAACTAGTTAGCGTATATATAGAGTTCGACATGGCTAAATCGCCTCAGCACGTCACGCTGATCATTTATATACACGTATGTAATTTATAGGGTCTTCTTTCCTTGGTGTGTTACAAACATCATGTCAAACTTTATTAAACATAGCAATGATCTGTTATAAAAGTTGTCATGTGTCAGTGAAGTTAAGAACCAACTTTTTTTTTGGTTTGTATTATTATACAAAATATCACGATCGAAGTCGGCTAGGTCTAAACAGATTATTCATGAAAAATTATTTAAATGTCCAGCGAAATGTTTTAACGTTCTAATTCGGTTTAAGAATGCTAAGGTAAAAGCCAGATCGATTTATCGATTTTTGATACCTAATTATCGATATTTAAATTATAAATCAATGTGAGGAATGAAAATTTAAACATTCGGTATAATCAAAAAAAAAAGGATCCCTCATTTATAGGTATATAGGCAATTCGAAGAGAAAATCGTGGCTTGGTGGCAAAAATTAATAAAAAGGTTTACATCCTCTAGGTTAGGTTAGGTTAGGTTAGCGGGTCGATCCTAAGAAGGATCACACTTGGACAGCTTAAATGCCGGTCCGTTGTGGTACCCAAAACTCCTATGAGCCGGATCAATAGACCCTTACATGTCGACAAAGCGCTTTGTGCCTATGACAAACTTGTTGAGATGGCCAATATCTGTTTCGGCCAGATCTTCTGGACCGCCAAAAGTATGATTGCCGAGATGTTTCAATCTCAACCTAGCAAAAGCCAATGGAGGAGAAAGTGCCGGGATGTTTCCACTTCACCCTCCTCCATACAGCTTTGACAACTGCCATCGGGTAGTATTCTAAGCCGTACCGCATGAGTTCCCATTGGACAGTGCCCAGTGAGAACTCCTACCATGGCGGCGAGGTGAACTTTGTTCAAGGCGAGAAGATCCCCCGACCTCCTGCGAACCACTCTCGGCCAGAAGGATCGCGCAGTCGCGCAGGAGCTGGTCGCCGACCAGCGTCTGCTGAGCTCCTGCGAAGTCCATTGGTCCAGAGCGAGAATGCAAGACGTTAGTGGAGAACCAACTCGATCCCATTCCGATGTGAGCGGGGCAA